GAACTGCTAGCAGGATCGCCTAAGACCATCGGACAGTAGCAAAATTAGTTATAAAGTAGCAACGAAAATAATTTTATGGTTGGGGGTCACCACAAATGAGGAACTATATTAAAGGGCTGTGGCATTAGGAAGGCTGAGAATCACTGCCTTAGAATATACCTAAAAGAAAAACAGATACACTTAATATTTTTAAAAAGTAAAAAAATGAGTTATACAGGCCCAAACTACTCATGATACAAATATGAAAATCCTTTAAACACCAAACAATTCTGAAAACAGGTAGTGATAAGACTAAATACATTTACATACATAATCCAAATATGAACTGTCCATCCCCATTTTGTAAAAGCTAATCTATGTATAATCACCCTCACATTTTATTAGTAGCAATACCCTTCCTTAGTGTGTGCTGCTTACATTTGTAACTCGAAATATGCTACTCCAATTAAGCATATGGAACTTTGTTTTGTGAAATAAAACCATGTCAATTAAGATTCAAATGCTTCTTTTATGAAGTAAACAAGAAGCAATTATGTTGCAAGTATAAGTTCACAACTACCTAATTCTTTTCCAATGTTGATCTTTCATCATTGAAATACATATATGTGTGTATATATGTATATGTATGTGTATATATATATGTATATGTATATATTTAAAACCTACATTGTTTCTCCAGTATAAAGTACCAACAGGTAAGAATGAAAAGGGTCTTTGTCTCTGAAGCAAAAGACAGAAAGAGAGAAGGAGGAAGATAAGGGGGAAAAAGAAGAAAAAGGAGAAATTTAATAATCCTTGCTCTAAACAACAAAACTCGTTTGAAAGCGTGTTGCCTTGCATTTTCTCTAAAGCAGTGGTTTAAATGAAAAACACATTAAGGCACACATGAGTTTAAGACTTGAAAGACAAACTTAACAAGTGAAGCAACCTTTCACTTTTGATTATAAAAATAGTATTCTAAAATTAGTAAAAACACATGCAGACAGCTGACAAAATTGCTTCAAAATGTGTCAGAACACATCTAAGACGAAAATACTCAAAATGCCAATTTCAAAAATATGCCGTATTAAAGGGCTCTTTAAGAAATTTTTTGTAATAAAGTGTTTGTAGACTCTTAATTTTATTCCTGACTATAAACACTTGCTATACTCGTGTGCTAAATGGAATCTTATGTAGAAAAATACATTTTTAAATGTTTAAATGATTCTCCCTTAGAAATTCAGTAGACAGGAACAGAAAGTAAAAGTACTATCATATAACTACTCCACTGTTCTCTATCTAACCTTTCTGTTTAAAGAACCAGGACTACCAGGTTCCTCAGATTTTAAAATCAAGGCTAAGTGTGGCCCTAGCTGGGCATCTCAGTTGGTTAGACTGGAGCATTGTCCTAATATACCAAGGCTACGGGTTGGACCCCCGGTCAGGGCACTTACAACAATCAACCACCCGGTATTCTTTCTGACCCTTTCAAATTGGAACACATTACTATTTTAAAAAGGTCATACAGCAACAGAGCTCCATTTCACGTGCGCTGTTTAGTGGAGGTTCACAGCCTTGTGTGAGAGTAGTCCAAGCCACTGGACCAGTATGGCTCATACATCTGCCTACAGCATCAATTTTAGTCAAAAGACATATAAGGAAAAATTTTTATTTTACCTAATAAGCCCAACACAGGGAAAAAATACATAATGATTAGGATACTAGAAGACCAGTGCCTTAGAAATTTAAAAACAGGAAAGAGAAAGCAAAGAGTGCTGGACCAGTGATAAGAGGAGGGACTGGTTAATGAAGCAGAAAACTTTTGATTGTCTGGATAGAAGATAAGAGGCAGCAAACTAAGGCCCTTTAACCATATAAAGGGAGCATTTGAGAAATGCATAGGGCATTTTTAATCATCACGACCATTGGGGCAGAACCCAAGTATATTAGATAATCCTGCAATTCATGGAATAGCAAGACACAATAAAAAATTGGTGTAAGACCTTCAAATGTACAACTTAAAAGTTCACTGCTTTAAACATTTAGTATTTTTGCACAGTTTTAATGAACACTGGTTCTTCTGGGAATACAACCAATGTAAACTGAACAAGGCTGTACTACTTTGTTTTGTTGAAATTTTTATAAGGGGGGTATTCATTATTAAGGAAGGAAAGAAAAGGGAAGGGGAAAGGGAGAGGAAAAGGGAAACGGAAAAGGAAACGGAAAAGGAAGGGGAAAAGGAAAAGGAAGAATCACACCACCAGTGGCAATTCCAATTGCAACACCTGATTTGTCAATACCATTGTGTAGCTGTTGCATACAAATATGTAACTAAGACTGTTAAAACTTAGTCTTAGAATACTAAGTATCATTCATTACCTTGACAATTAGACACACAAAACACAAGGATATAGAATTTCATTGGTAACCTTTTTGTTAAAATGCTGTACATTACTGTAAACCTTTTTCATATGGCACATAGGGCAATTTATCTTGTAAAAATTATGTATTGACATTATTTATTCATTTTGGCATTATCTGGTTAGTTTTCAATCTTACTCTGATATTCACCCCAAAAGTCTACTGCACAAATTCTCTCTGCCTTCACAAATTAATGTTTCTTTTAGCAATTCATCCTTTGCCTCTAATTCCTCACATGTAGAAATGGTTAAAAACAATGTTTCCTGATACAAAATAACTTCGCCAACATCATTACATAGAAAATAATGACACCATGTTACAAATAAGGCCAGCAGATCGGTGACACTAGGAACTTTCTTTTTTCTCAGAAGTTCAGTAGCCTGAAAAGTTATTTCCCTTTCTCTACCATCATACTTAATTAAATCTTATGTTATTCTTTATCCTGGCACTAGCTTTTATTTTAAAGTTCACTCATAATGCAATTCTTTCAAGTCTTGTACTTCTTATACAGAATACTATATGTTCTAAACTTTTCTTTTAAATCCAAACACATCATAAGTAGATGCAAAATCTGAATATCACACTGTGTCTTTTTTAATGTAATAATCTGTATGTTCCAAACATACAGGATGGGACAAAAGTAGCTTTACAGTTTTGAGTATATGAAACACAGAGCATATTCTTATATTATTATTAATTATTGTATTATTTTCCATACAAACAACTGTAAACCTACTTTTGCCCCACCCTGTATTGTTTTCATAATAAATGACTTTCCTATTATTTCTCTTCTGTGATGAAGACATTGATATTTGTGTCACTGAGTGTAGATAATGAGCATAGATAGGTTATACTACTTATAAATTTCATTTAAAATAATTAACTAAAAAATAGAAAAGGGGATGCTGAGTCTATTAGAGTTGAGAATCACTGCTTTAAACATACAAAAATTTCAACACAGACAAAATGTTTCTTTAAGACACCAAGAATAGCCACGGTAAAACTTTGAAGAAAGGGGTCTCCACAAAGGGGCAGGACGATGTGAAGCTTCAGGGAAAGGCAAGGCAACAAGCACAGCATCAAGAATCAGGGGGGAACTATAAGCACTGACTGACTCTCAGAGATAAGCTCCAACAACAACACTTCAGGAAAACAGCCACACAGGATCTGAAAGGAAGTGGCTGCCTTTGCAAAGGTACAACTGCCAGGGCAAGAAGTGTGGAACTTGGTTATGAAGAGGCAGGAAATGACTTATTAGGGAAGAAGAAATTGTCTTAATTTACCAAAGACTTTCAGAGATAGCCAAAAAGAATCAGCCAGGAAATTCTCCAGAAAGAGAGCTAATTTTGAACACAGGTTAGAGGTCCCTGAAATCTATGAAATGGTGATTCTAGTACAAACTTCAATAGGCTTGTATTTTATAAACACCCAATCCAGTCTGTGGCATGCTCCTTCAAACAAAAACTCATAAGGAATCTTTACAACACAGCTTTTATGTTAAACTTTGGGTTTTCATATTATTTATACAAACATTTGAATATTGTACTATTTAGTTTCATGATGAATTTTCTAGTTTTATGATGGAAAAATGAGTTTCCTTGTTTTAATACATGAAATCTTCAGGAAATAAATGACCACTCTATTTAGGATCACTTTCCAAAATCTAATTAGGGCCTAAGTTTAGGATCAACTATGGTCATTTTCTTTTTTACTCTTTCCATTTATATCATTTCACTACTTACTTATCTATTACCCAAAAAGCTCTTAAAATCTGCCATCTGCCATGATTTTTAAGAAATCCTACAAAAATGACTGCTCACTTAAGGGAAGCCTGAGGATTAATCATAGATTAAATGAACTGAACTGAGGAGGCTACAAGAAGTATTATAATAAGATAATGTCAATGTGTAGGATTGAGAGTGAAACTACAGAAATCGATCATTAAAGACTTGATCATTAAAGAATCATTAAAGAATTTATAAAAGCGAAAAAGGAAAATAACTAAAAGAGCCGTTAATACAGAATAAAAACAAAACATACCAAAATTAGAGATTTGGAAGAGACATGCTGCATGTACAAGAAGCCATAATCAGCCAGGGATTTATAACCTCAGTATGCCTAAACACTAGTAGAAAATAACATAAACTAGGGACTGAACACTGAATAGTTTGTGCTCTCAGAAAAGTCAAACACTAAAATTGATGCTTCTTCAACTGGGTGTGTGTGCCCCATGGAATATGCAAAGCTCTTCTTCTTAAGGCATTCATTTTACTTAAAAGAATTAAAATACATGCGAATGTTTTGTGAAGAATGCCAAATATGGATTACTTTCAATGACAAGATAATAGATTTCAAACAAAACATCTTGCTTTCTTTGACCATTATAGTGATGTTAGCTGTTAAGAAATATTTTGGCGGAAAATTCTTAAGTACAGCTTCAGATATAGTTTAGAGAGGGCAAAAATTATTTAGGAGTTAAGTTACATAGAATTGAGTATAATAAAATGTACATTATCTCAACCTAGTATTTCTCAACTTAGATCAAATCCCTAAAAGCCCCCCAGTGCTCCCAAAGAAGTACTTTAAATGGAAATACTTACTTAGGAAACCAATTTAATCCTAGGTGCTCTGTCTTGGAATATAATATTCTTTCCACCATGTCATAAAGTGGTCTCCAAGGTAGCTCCAAATCATCTCTTGAAAGAAGTTCCTTTTTTCTAATTAGGAAAAGTAAACACATACATATGAATGTGTGCAAAGGTGTGTACATATTACACATACTACTCAGGGAGGACAATTGTTAAATGCTGCTGTCATCACAGTGGGTTTGCTTTTCCTCATCCACAGCAATCTGCTGGCAGAATATAATAAAGCAGGTAGTAGGAAGAGCAATGCCCTAGATTCTTGCTACTGCTCAAACCTCAAAGAGCAATTGGTAAGAGAAAGCATTTTCGTTTGTGCTACCATCACTATAGATGAATTTCCTATTTTCCCACACTAACTGTTTTCACTTAAAGTTTCCAGCATTGTGATTGGTGCCTTGGGATAAGCAGAAGAATAAATGATCCCTATAGGATCTTAAAACCTATATAAGAAAAAGATAATTAGTATAAATAAAACAATCAGACAATACAGAGTTCAATGTGGGCTAGAGAAAAGAAAGCTTCATAGAATTTTAATTAAAAGGTTAATTAACACATGATGTAAACTTATAAAGTTCTCGCCCTAGCCTGTTTGGCTTAGTGTATAGACTATTGGCCTGCTGACTGACTGGTCCCGGGTTAGATTCCAGTCAAGGGCACATGCCTGAGTTGTAGCTTGATCCCCAGTAGGGGGCATGCAGAAGGCAGCTGATCAATGATTCTCTTATCATTGAGGTTTCTCTCTCTCTCCCCCTCTCCTTTCCTCTCTGAAATCAATAAAAACATATTTAATAAGTAAATAAACGTATAAAGTTTGCATTTCCTAAAATCTTGAAAAAATCCAAAATCACAGAAAAATTGACTTACTTTAACAAGTTGATCAAGAGACGCGCAAATCCCTGCATCATGCTGATTTCCAGTTTTGGAATTGATACCAGCTCATACAATAACTTGACAAAAAGAACATGATCTTCTTTGCTAAATTTTCTCCCATAAAGTCGAATATATCTGCAAGAGAAAAAAAATCAATAGAACCTTTAAAAATAGGTATGGTGACACATCCATATTCCTTACTGCAGTCTTCACAATAGCCATGTGTAAGCTACATAAATATCCATCAACAGATAAATGAATTAAAAAATGTAGCATGCACACACAACAAAATATTATTCAGCCTTTTAAAAGAAGGACATTTTTTCATATGTTACAACATAGATAAGCCTTGAGGACATTACGCTAAAAAGTGAAATAAGCCCATCATAAATATAAATACTACAGGAGTCTACCTAGTATATGTAGTATTTAAAATAACCAAAATCATAGAAACAAAATGTAGAACCATGGTTGCCAGGGATAGGGATGAAAGGGGAAACAGGGAGTTGTTCAACGGGTATACAGTTTGAGTCATGCAAGATGAAAAAGTTCTAGAGATCCGTTGTATAACAATGTCCATGTTGTTAACAATATTGTACTGCACACTTAAATGTATACTTCTTGCCACAAAAAATATGTACTGTAAAACTATTCCAAATGTCTTTGATTTTAATCATTTTATATCCACTACTTGCTATGAGGAAAAGAATTATTCTGTATTTTCTTTTTCTTTTTTTTAAATATATTTTATTGATTTTGTACAGAGAGGAAGGGAGAGAGATAGTCAGAAACGTCAATGAGAGAGAGTCATCGATCAGTTGCCTCTTGCACACCCCCCGCTGGGGATATGCCCGCAACCAGGGTACATGCCCTTGACCGGAATCGAACCCGGAACCCCTCAGTCCCCAAGCCCACGCTCTATCCATTGAGCCAAACTGGTCCCGGCTATTCTGTATTTTCATTAAGACTGCCAAATAAGTATTTTTTAAAATCAAAAAGCATAAAGTTTCATCAATATTTAATAACCAATGAAAAACATGGCTATCTTACCATAGCTGGTGTTAATCAGTGGTTAGAGCATCAGCCCATGCACAGAAGGGTCTTGGGTGCAATTCCCAATCAAGGGCACATTATCTGTTATGCAGGTTCGAGCCCCAGCCATGGGTCAGGGTGCATATTTGGTGGACACACACACACACACACAAAACCAACTGATAGATCCAGGTCTCTCACATGAATGTCTATCTGTCTCTCCCCCCTAACTCTCCCACTCTCTCTAAAAATTAGTTGAAAAAATATCCTCCAGTGAGAATTAACGCCCCCCCCCCCCAAAGAAAAGGACAAAAAACATCGCTCTTATTGTTACAAGGTCTTAACTGGCCTTTAGTCATAAGTTACCTCAAAAAAAGTGCCTCTGCCCCTTCCTCCCCCACCTGGGCACATGCCTAGGTTGCAGACTTGATCCTCAGTAGGGGGCGTGCAAGTGGAGGCAGCTCATTGGTGTTTCTCTCTTATCCGTGTTTCTATTTCTCCCTTCCTCTCTCTCTAAAAAATCAATAAAAACATACTTGATGTTTCTATTTCTATCTCTCTCTCCCTTTCTTTCTCTAAAAAGCAGTAAAAAAACAAAACATTTCTTAAAAATACTGGAAGTATTATATGCAATAAAGTCGTTTTGCCTGGCCAGGTGGCTGTTGGAGCATCAGCACATACACCCATGTCACACACACCCATTTAATTCCTGGTCAAGGCATTTACTTAGGTTGTGGGTTTGATTTTCAATCAGGACAATCAATTGATGTTTGTTTTGTTTTGAGAGGCAAAATTGATGTTTATGTCTCACATTAATATCTTTCTCCCTTTCCTCCCTTCTTCCCTCTCTAAAGATCAATGGACATATCCCAAAAGTGAGGATTTAAAAAAAAAAGCTGTTTCCAAAACAAGGTAATTTAAAAACAAAATACTGAGAATGAAGACTAAGAATCTTCATTTTAAAAACTATTCCAGTTGGTTTTCTGTATATTTAGGTTCATTCCTTTTTCCAATTAATTTTCATGTTATATTCTAGGACAAAAAAAATACTATTAGATGCCTCAAAATACTTAAAAACCTTGGTAATAGCCATGATTGAACCTTTGAACGGACTAATTAAACTATCTTCCCACAAAGGGGAGGGGGAAGAATAGTAAAAGGTAATACAAAAGCACTTTTGAACTGCTTCCTAACCACCTTACAGTGTATTAATCTATTGTTTTAACTTTTTTAATATAATTAAGGGGCTCTTGGCTCAGTTTTTTATTTTTTTAAACATTTCTTTTTTAAATATTTTTTACTGATTTCAGAGAGAAAGGGAGTGTGAAATAGAAATATCAATGATGAGCCAAAACCGGTTTGGCTCAGTGGTACAGCGTCGGTCTGCGGACTGAAAGGTCCCAGGTTCGATTCTGGTCAAGGGCATATACATTGGTTGCAGGCACACCCCCAGTAGTAGGGGGAGTGCAAGAGGCAGCTGGTCGATGTTTCTCTCTCATCAACATTTCTAACTCTCTCTCTCTCTCCCTCTCTGTAAAAAAATCAATAAAATATATTTTTAAAAAGAAAAGAAAAAAAATATCAATGACAAGAGAATCATTGATTGGCTGCCTCTTGCATGCCCCCGACTGGGGACTGAGCAGGCAACCCTGGTTTGTACCCTTGACCAGAATTGAACCTGGGACCCTTTAGTCTGCAGGCCAACGCTTTAACCATTGAGCCAAATCAGCAAGGGCTTAAATGTTTTAATTTTTAATCTTATATAAAGAAAGACTGTGGAATCCCAGGGATAGTAATTATTTAAGAAAATCTACAATACTGTCAATATTTTTTTTTCTATTCTACAACTCAATAGTTTACTGCACATTACAAGGAAGTTTAAAGTAAAATATAAAATTATACAACACGATTGTATGAATTAGTTTGGCTAGAGGCTTAAAATATTGGTTTTCAATAAAAGCTTTGTCATTCACCAGTTAATTTTATTCAAGGCAGTCACTGGGTTTCTAATCTATTATATCCATCAATAAAGTAAAATTAGCATCATTTCAGAGGGACATTAAGACTTTGTAATTATAAAACATGCAAGACACTTGGCAATGATATTTAATCTTAAGTAAATGTTTTATTTGGGGTAGTTTCACTCAAAAGACAAAAGAATGGAATTTTAACTTGAAAATTTACAAAGCCAGAAAGAATGTAGTATACCCAGGGGTAGTAATCCAACAAGGAAAGTCACCCCAGAGAAAAGATGGCTGAGTTTCTTTATTCTGAAAATAAGGGGGTCAGAGTAAACAATAAAGGCGATATGAAAGATTCTGTCCTCACAGACAAGTTGCAAAGGTGTGTGTAGATTTGTGGCCTGGAATTGCAAGCAATGCTGTATCCTTGCATGATTCTCCGAGTATTTGTAAAGAAAAAAACCATTAAGTGTTATTTCCTCAAAACAAACAAAAAACACACACACCAGAATTCAAATATTTTAACTGAAAGCATTTAAAAGTATTTCAGGCCTGGATGGGAAGACAAGGCCGTTGGGGGTGAGCAGACCAGCAGGGAGGCCAGTTGGGGGTGAGCAGGCTGTCAGTGGGGGGTCATTTGGAAATGATCAGGACAGCAGGGGTGGGGGTGGGGCACACAGTTTGGAGTGAGCAGGCCAGCAAGGGGGGGGGGGGGGCAGTTGAGAGTGAGCAGGCTGACAGGAGGAGGGGGGTAGTTTGGGAGAGATCTGGCTGGTGGGGAGGGCATTTGGGGGAGAACAGACAAAGTGGTTAGGGGCAAGAAGGCAGGCAGATGAGCGGCTGGAGCCAGCAGTCCCGGAATGTGAGAGGGATGTCCTACTGCCATTTTAGGCCCAATCCCTGTAAACTGGCAGTAGGACATCCTTCTAGGGGTCCCAGATTGGAGAGAGTGCAGGCTGAGCTGAGTAACAACCCCCATTCCCCATGCACAAATTTCCTGCACCAGGCTATTAGTTAGAAAATAGCGAAGTATAACAAAATTTAAAAACATGCATATGAATCTGATTAAACAGGCAATCTCCAGACTTAAAGCATTCCCCCCTCCAAGAGGCACTTCCTTTAAAATCAGGTTCACAACAATGACTATCCTTCTGTTATTATTTAACATTATTCTGAATCTAGATTGAAGAGTAAACTAGGTAACAAAAGGTAGAATAGTATGGTGTCAATACTATGGCTATACATACTAAAATATCCAAAACAATCACCTAAAAAACAGTTTTAGACTACATAAGAAAATCTAGTGTTTTTTAAAAGCAACAACCTTTCTGTATGGTATCCAGAAAAAAATAGTGGTGGTTGAAAGAATATTGTTCCAGTCATTCTTAATACCAACAACAATAACAAAAAAATTAGAAGTTTCTCTAAAAGAAATGTTTAGGAGCCCTGGCCAGGTAGTTCAGTAGGTTAGAGTGTCAGCCCAGATATGCCAAGGTTGTGGGTTCAATCTCCAGTCAGGGCACATGCCAGAAGCAACACATAAATGGATCTCTCTTTCCCTGTCTCCCCACCCCTTATTCTTTCCCTTCCTCTCCCTTCTTTTCTCTATTAAAAAAAAAAAAAAAAAATCAATAAATTTTTTTTAAAAAGTACATTGTTTAAAAAAGGAAAAATGCTGTAATTACATTTTTAAAACAATAAAATTGCCCTAGCTGGTTTGACTCAGTGGACAGAGTGTCTGCCTATGAACTGAAGGGTCCCAGGTTTGATTCCAATCAAGGGCACATGCCCAGATGTGGGCCTATTCCATTGTGGGGCATGCAGAAAACAACTAATCAATGATTCTCTCTCATCATTGGTGTTTCTCTCTCTCTCTCCCTCTCTAAAATCAATTAAAAAGTATTTTTTTAAATAAAAATAAAATTGACTGATATGTAAAATATTTTAATAAATTATGAGATAAGGATTGTTTTTAATGTCTTAATACCTGACAGTTAAGGCTAAATAACAAATATTTCACAGAAAGGAAAACTACCATGATCGGTGAAATCCCTGAACTTTACATTTTAATTTCAGACAGTAACTTCAACTCTTCCTTTTACCAAAATAAACATCCCACATTTTTGCTGTAGCTATGTCAGT